GCAACTGCACGGTAAGACCATCATCTGGAAGTATGTTAAACGAGGAAGTTGATAAATTCGTTATAGAAGCTTCTTTAACCGTCTTCATCGACATTCAGAGGGAATAAGAGCTGTTGAAGAAAAGTTCTGTGTGGTGTAGATAGAAAAATCAAAAACCTAGTTATCAACAGGATAACATACAGAGATAAAGATAACAACAGTAAAAGAATTTACTTCTACCTTCTGCGAGGCAGCCGGTTTCCACCAATGGTCAACACCTGTTGGTTTAACTCTGTCTTTGTCACCTCTTCAACTTACCAAAACAAGATTCAAGCTAATTAAATTAAATTATAAAATCATAGTGCAGTCGGTCATGTTCAATATCATTCAACATTTTAATCTCAAAACAAAATATCGGAAGTAAGGCTGTTATTAAACAGATACACTTCATATGTAGAAATATTAAAAGAAATTCGATTATCAAAATACTTTAAAACAGATGAACCTCATTGTATAGAAATAATACGAGAATTATTAAGATATTGTTAAACATATATTGTAATTGAACAATAATTTCAAATATTTATTTTTCTCACTGAAGACGCCCCCCCCCCGGTGGCACAGCGGTATGTCTGCGTACTTACAACGCTAGAATCCTGGTTTCGATACCCGTGGTGGGCAGAGCACAGATAGCCCATACAAACAAACTCTGAAGACCTTTGAAGGGGGGGGGGGTAGTCCGTAGCCACACCAACCAGCGTGTAAACACGTTGGTTGTTTACTCATCTTGACGGCAAAGCTCCCCCACTCCCCTTTACATTCTGCCCGACCCAATTCAGTTCCCACCCCCTCCTGGAAAAGTTTTTTTTAGCATTTACGTCTCTGAAGAATTAAAAAAAAACTGAATGTACTTTGGCTAAAGTTCACTTGTCTTTTTTTTATGTAAAAAATTGTGAATATTAATATCACAAGCATTATTGCCAAAATTAACCGTCAAAAAAAAATTTGGTTAGAGACGAACACTAAAAAATATCACACTAAAAACTCTCTAAGTCAGGTTAACTAATATACAAGATTACAATATAATTCTTATCGGTTCTCAGTGGCCAATATTTGACCAGTTTTTATCAGACGTTGCTATTGTGGTAGATGATACAAAATATTTGTTTAAACATTACCTTACCCAACAAACAAGCTTTTTCTACAATATTTTACTGTGTAACCGTAATGTAAGCACCAACACGTCATCATTCATCTACACTCTTTTTTTCTTTTAAATCTGTTACTGTAAGAAACGTCAGTTGTCAAAGTAACTATTTTCGTCCAGTTTCATGTAAACTGAGAGAGAAAAAAAAACCGTGATCCAGTGTAAACTTTAGTTACAATACAACAAAGAAATAACCTGGCTTCTAGGTTTAGAGTTCAATATTGACATGTAACAAGACAGCTCTGGCTCTTTCTGTTAATTATTGATGTAAAGTGTTGTACTTCTTACGATTTTCTTCATTAGCTTGGTTTGTTTGTTTGTTTTGTTTTTGAATTTCGCGCAAAGCTACACGAGGACTATCTGCGCTAGCCGTCCCTAATTTTGCAGGGTAAGACTAGAAGGAAGGCAGCTAGTCATCACCACCCACCGCCAACTCTCGAGCTACTCTTTTATCAACGAATAGTGGGATTGACCGTCACATTATAACGCCCCCACGGCTGAAAGGGCGAGCATGTTTGGTGTGACAGGGATTCAAACCCGCGACCCTCAGATTGCGAGTCGAGTGCTTTAACTACCTGGCCATGCCAGGCCCATTAACTTGGTGTGGCAGTATTAATGTTCTTAACATCTCTTGGTATTTCGCGCATAGCCACTCGAGGCCTATCTGCGCTACCCCCCCCCCCCAATTTTTGAAGTAAGGAATTGGAAGAAAACAGCTTGTCAATATCACTCGCCGCCAACGCTTGAGCTACTCTTTCTCGAAAGACATCTGGGATTCCAACGGCTGAAAGGGTGAGCACGTTCGATGACGGTATTCGAAATTGCGACTGGAGCGCCCTCTAACCACCAGACCTTTCGTATTCTTATCAAAATTATAAGCTTTACTCAAGCAAGTTGGAATCAGTCATGTTTTATAGTTTCAGTTATATCCTGACAATTCTTAAATTAATAGAAACAAGCACAACGCTGGTTCTTACAACACTAAATATTTGGTAAAAAAACGTAACATTCAATCTTCATGTAAGAAAGAGTTATTGTTTGAAGTTAAGCACAAAGCTAAACAATGGGCTATCTGTGCTCTGCCCACCACGGGTATCGAAAACCGGTTTCTAGCGTTATAAGTCCACAGACATGCCACTGGGAGGCGTAAGAAAGAGTTATTGTTTGAAGTTAAGCACAAAGCTAAACAATGGGCTATCTGTGCTCTGCCCACCACGGGTATCGAAAACCGGTTTCTAGCGTTATAAGTCCACAGACATGCCACTGGGAGGCGTAAGAAAGAGTTATTGTTTGAAGTTAAGCACAAAGCTAAACAATGGGCTATCTGTGCTCTGCCCACCACGGGTATCGAAAACCGGTTTCTAGCGTTATAAGTCCACAGACATGCCACTGGGGGGCGTAAGAAAGAGTAGGAAACTATAGACACACACACACTCGCATAAAATGAACTGAATCGGTGATTGTGTTTTCATTGGACCTTTGCTTTTTGTTATTTACGTTAATAGTCAAGTACGTTGATGAGTTAAACTCGTGAATATTTTTAGCTGTATTGGTGGCGTTAAAGTACTACAGCATGACGTGAATCAATTGGTAAGTTGGACAAATATTTGGAAATGACCTTTAATTATATATATAGTAAGTGGGTTATCTTAAATTTGGATCCCATCTTTAATCGGCCAATTGGTTAGGGCGATCGATTCGCAATCTGAGGGTCGCGGGTTCGAATGCCCGTCCCGCTAACGCCGTGGGGGCGTTATAATGTGACGGTCAATCCCACTATTCGTTGCTAAAAGAGTAGTCCAAGAGTTAGCGGTGGGTGGTCCCTCTAAATTAGGGACGGCTACCGCAGATAGCTCTCGTGTATCTATGCGCAAAATTCAAAACAAACAAATAAACTCATGTTTAATACATTTGGAAAACCACTCAGTAGAAAGACTAAAGACAAGAATATTGGCATAGTGATGGATAAGTCGCTAAAGCTTTTTAAATCTGTGCTATGTTGAGAGTAGTAAGGCTGATATAATTTTAGCATGTATCTTTATTAAATAGTTAATTAAATCATTCAGTGCTATATATATATTTGTATAATAAAACATTTCACTAATTTTCACTACACTTTTTATTGAAATATAATTTTATTACATACCCATAAATGGTTGATATGGTTACGCTTACTTTGTTTGATTTATGAAAGAACTTATTGTTGGCGTCCAAATAACGTTCTCAATGGTATTAAGTAACGACACTGTTGTAGCGCCCTCCAGTGACACTAGTTAAAACTATTCGCAGATACAGAGTCGAAAAGCCTTCTCAAGAGTTATTTGGCGATTAGGCTTAAAGATTAGAGCGCGGGCATTTGACTCGCAATCTGCGGTCACGGGTTCGAATCCCTTCACCAAACGTGCCCAGTCTTTCAGCTGTGGGGGCGTTATGATGTGACAGCAAATCCCGTTACTCGTTTGATAAAAGAGTAGCGTAAGAGTTGGCAATGGGTAGTGTAGACTAGCTACCTTTTCTTCAGTCTTTAGTTACCGTAAATAGTACTCGAGCAGCTTTGCGCGAAATTCAACATAAAAGCAAACCCTCCACCTCAGGCATGATAAAACTTGTGGATATGGTTAACTGTATGAGGATATCGCTGTTGTTATTAACTCGGTCACTGTTTGCCGTTTATTCATTGAGGTTTGTTTATAATTAAGCACAAAGCTACACAATGGGCTATCTGTGCTCTGCCCACCACGAGTATCGAAATCCGGATTTTAGAGTTGTAAGTCCGCAGACATGCCGCTGGGAGGCTTTTCATTGAGGAACCATGCACCTTATTTCTTGTC